GGGGGGGGGGGGGGACTGGATGACGAGCAATTTCCATCTACCTGCTCCGCTCGTTGATAGTTGAAACGCGACGGTGCACAGAATCAAGGAACAATATCGTCAGAAATTATTTGCGGTTTCACAGACGAAGATTCTCTATTTGCTTCCATTTGGCAACAAAGCTGCAATTTCCACATCGATACGATACGATACGATATCGCGAGTCCGCCATGAAACTCATTGTTAGCGAGAAACTTCGATACGAGGCGTGTTCTGTATGGTATAAACAGAGTTTGCTCCGTCGAAACGGCACACCCTCCACGACCACGCGTCACTGGCGCCTTAAATTTACGCTAGCTTTCGATCGACTGCTCGTGTAGGATTAAAAGCTACTCATCGGAGCAAATCCGGCACAAGATCGCGCGAATAGCACCCCCGTAGAATCCATTGATTTAACCTTTTAGCACGCGATAGCTGTTACTCGTTGAATCGTAGCGGGTTTAGAACGATCCTAAAATACTTTTTACCAACATTCCGTTCGTAATTTTTACGGAACTTCTACGGAGGTCCGTTCAATTGTAGCCGTGAAACTATTAGTGGCTGATTACGGTTAGTCATGATGATGGCCGTGAAGAACGAAACGACGGGAAGAACGACGAATACAAACTGTACAGTATCATTGTGATATCGTCGTGAGGATGATGGAAGGCCTTTGGCCTTATTTATCGTTCGCACCGACTGTTAGTAACGAGGACGATGCTCTGTCAGATATGCGCAAAAGACCACCTCGACACATTTATACTTTGCAGAAATATTTCAAAAGGCTATAATATTAGAACGATTGATTGGAACAATCGGATGGACCAGCTACCGCAAGCAACGCATACCAGCGCACGAGCAAGAAATCCCGTCTACGAGTAATCTCAGACGACCTCGTTCCGATTCCAAGCCAAAGCGGCGATAAGCAACGATAAGACGGAGGAGAAATAGTCGAAAGCGACGATCGCTTTGGCAAAAATGGAGCACGTTCGTCCGTTTCCCCGACCTGTCACCATTCTCGCGTGTGACGTTCTGCGACGGCGAACGCGCGTGCCATTTGTACGCGCCGCGTAGAAACAATGCTCGATAGTCCCGCAGACATTTCTGGCGTGGAATCCAGCGCGTTAATCGCGCGCAATCCGCTAAGAGTTCGTAGGAGGAGGCCAGAATTTCTAACGAACGACGATCGAACGGAACCAACGTCGACAACGATTCTACGATCTACGGCACCTACGAACACTCGGAGCTCGTGTCTTGGATTTTTTCTTCGTTGTTCGCCGCCGAGCTCTTTCGGACATCCCGTTAAACGTTCCAACACGATGGGAATTCATTGACGTAAATAATTACGTGATCGAAACGACGGAACACGGATCTGGAAAAAAGGAAAAGTTACGCAATTGCGGTTCACCCACACACGCGTCGTCCCACGTACACCTCATCGCGTTAATACGATTCATAAGCTCGTTTAAATGGGACGTCGGGCGAAACCGTGTTTCCAGGTTACCGAAAACCCGATCCTAAATTCCTTGTTTATTAATTCCACGGGTCAAAGACCTGCTCGTGTGCTATATTTCCGTTACGTTACTCGTTCAACGTGGTACTCGGTTCTCCTTAACGAATCTTGCTCCGTTGAGGTATAAATACACGGACTGGTTTAGAATCTATTTAATCTGATTAAGACGCGCGAGCGCGTTGGTGGTGTTCGTGTACTTGCAAGGGACGCACGACGACATAGAGGCTACAGGAAGGTTCGTATAAATGGCAGCCGATCGATTCTCTCGTATCCATTTTTGTAACAAGGGTTACTTTAAACAAACCGCTGGACTTTACCGCCTTTCAACCCTTGACTCATCCCTTAAAGCGGGTCGCAGCAATAACGAAACGAAGTAAGACGAGTGCCCTGGTTGTTCTCTGGTCTCGAGGAAATTAATCGATCCCCTAAGGCCACGGATGTACGCGTCCGGACAAAAAGGAACTTTGAACTCAGCAACGTCCGTTCTACGTTCGATTCGTTTCACGTTCGTACGATATCACGCTGCCAATTCACCGTTCCACGATGTTAGATAACGTTACTGTGATCGACGAAACCACTGAAAACTTCGCGGATTTTTTTCCCTCGACGCAGGAGGAAACCGGTTTCGCTCGCTCCACGATGTCGCACGATTCGGCTCGTAATGGCAATCCATCATCCAGAGCGTAACCCGTTCCACGTACGTTCCTCTCCGCTTCGGTATGTTAATATGATTCATAAGTGGTCTAAATAGGATGTCGTAAAGTGGGGTCAAACACGACGACCCCTAAGTGGCCGGCTCTTTCTCCTAATGCACTCTGGGTCACACACGAATCGACCGACGATCGAACGTATCTAATGGATATTACGAATTACGATCGATAATTACGCATCGTTTTCGAGTAACAGAAACCAACTTGCAAATTTTCGTCGAATATTACGGAAAGTTAGCAAACGGCACGAGTTAGACGAACGTAGGCGCCACACCGTTGTCGTTCGATACCAAAACATCGAAGAGTTATTAGAAAGATTCGACTTACGAATTTCTTGGTCCGTATAACTGCGGTATTTTCCAACCGTTACTACGATTACGTACAGACTAAGATTCCGTCGCGGCGATTCCACCTTATCAAAGGCTTTTAAACGCTCGTTCTACGGTTATCGGTATTTTTGCACAGCCTATCAAACAGTATCGACTATGTGCCACTAAATCGTTCGGTACGATTCGATAATAGTCCAAAGCGTTATCGTCGATATCCAGTTTTGAAATTTCCGACAGATACAAATAGAAGATACGAGTAAACGCTTTTTGAAAATTCGAAAATTCCAAAAGGACAAAGAAACGGTAGTAGCAGAGTACCGATGTCGAAGCACGTTCGCTGTAACCCGAAGTAATTAAAACGACGCATCGCGTAGCGAAACACCGTAATCGTTCGTTGCTTATGCAACAGGATGCGATGCATCTTTTGTGTGCAATTAACCGCATCGTGGCTGTGTGTTACAACTATTTAATAATGTATCGAACATGATCGGCCGGTAGCCCACGAGAAACGAATGCACGAAGAATTGAATTACAAAGTGGCCTGTATACAACGGCCACTTAACTTTCATCGAGGCGTTGCCGAGCGATTAGCGAAACGATATCGCGATAATTACTAGCCACGATGCGAAGGAGTCACGTGGTGCAGCTTTCTCGTCTTTCTCTGATTTCCATTAATTTCTAATCAATGAGAAACAATTACGCGCTAGACGATATCGAACCGTGCTTCACACGTGGGAAACACCGTGCGCAACATGGGAACCTACCTTGGGTTAACATCTTCAACGAGAGAATGTTCGACGAGTCGATGGAAAACTAACGCGAAGGAATATTAAAATTCGCGAGATGAATTTCGAAGGAGGGAAAAAATCTCGAAACACGGGATTATTTACGTTTGTGCGAGTAACGAGAAAGTTGTTACTCCTTTCTCGGGGCTTTTCATCGGCGTTCTCTGCTTAAAGATGCATCGATCGTGTCTGAACAGTCACGTTCTTTTTGCTGGTCACGTCACGAACATCGGGGGGAGGAGAGAAAATCGTGACGAGTCGTTCGAGGAAACGACGGAAAGAAAGGGACCGTACCGATGAACTTTTCGCGTGTCAGCGAGCGAACTCGAAGGAAAACGTCGATTATGCGAGTGGCCATTATCGTTTTCCATTCTTTCTCAAGATCGGCGAATGTTCTACTTGGCTATTCGTCGCCTTATCTAATCGTGCAGTCGCTATCGCGTCTAATATCCTGTCGTCGCTGATTTCAAATTTGAGCATTTTCCATCAAAAACAAAATCTTCTCGGCGTTATCTAAGAATCGCGGATGATGTCACACGGTGGTCGAGCGTTACGTGCGATTTTGCGAATCGACGCAATTACATCTGCCTATCGTGGTCGATCGATTAACGAGAAATTCAAGGTCCCTTTGCCGAACTCTGGAGTTAGATCGTAAGGCAGCGACCGAGTCAACGCTCGCGAAAGTTTTTTTCGCAAGCATATTATATTTGCTTGTTCCGAGGTAAATATTTGCGGAATAATATCGGGATAGTGGGAGTGGGAGTGAATAACGTTTTCGATCTTTTCAATTTAATCAGAGCGGAAGAACACCGCTGCTCGATACGATCGGAGGATCGCGAAGGCAAAACGGCTCGATTCCAAACACCCACTGCACGCGGTTTTTCGTGCCGTTAAATATAACTCGGCGTCATTTTCAAGCGCGATTGTCTCGGGTTGCAGTTTTTATTCGATGCGAAAACAACCTCTTACCACTCTTGAGCTGTTTCTGCTTCAGTTGCTGGTCCCTCTTGACCCCGTTACTTTCACTCGCAATAAAATTCTCGCTCGTCTTCGACTTCATTATATCGGCTGCTCGCGATGATCGCGTAATATTCGCGATAATCCCGCAAGGCGATCTACACCTTCTCCTCTTCTCGTCTCTCGTCGGGCTGCGATAAGATAATCGATCCGTATCACGATTGGAAGCAACGAAGGATCTATCAAACTCCTCGATACGATCACCCCGAGGAGCAAAAGGAAATAACGAATACAAGACGGGACAGAACTTTCGAACGAAAAATTTACAATTTCGAGACACTCGGCGACACTTTGAAAGATTCGCACGAACGCGCGTACGACGGGTAGCGATCGCGATCGATGTAACAGATCTGCAGTCACCGAAGCGTACGAAACCAACAGCACG